TACTAGAACGTTCACATAGGACTCCACTGTATCTGTGTTCACTGCAGGTAAGTTTCCCGAGTTGTGCCCTTAGAAGAACTTCTAGAGAGGAATACCTGAGCTATTTAAAATGTTAGAATCAAAGTACATTATGGGCTTGTATGGAAATATCATAATGAATCCCATTGCTTTGTATAATTAATACAGACTAATGGAAAGTTAAATACCATTTGTGTAATATCAAAGCAAAATATAAATCACTGGAGTCAAGAGTGCCCATTATATATGATGTTATAAGCAAACCCAGCCCAAATTAAACCTCGGTTTCTGGGGTCATGGAAAAAGTGGAACTAATATTTCAGGAAGGAAAAACACTAGATAAGTAAGCAAGCAAGTCCATGCACTGTTTTGTGAATCCATTCACAGGTATAAAGTTATATGAAAAACAAAAATGACTCCAGGGTGATTAGTTACGGATTGTCTGAACCCCTATTTGGGGTAAGTCTGAGTGAGAGGCTATCCCATCTAAAGCCCTCCTAGTCCTGTAGCTTGGTTTATTGTCACATGTGTGGGTGTTGCCTAAGATGGGCAAAGAAGGCAGGAAGAGCTGGGACTCAGTGTGTGGAATGGGCCATGCCATCACCGTTCTCTCTGTCTAGACCAGGTACACCGTGGCCAAAGGCAGCGTGGTCCAGTTCTTCTTTTACCAGCCCATCAGCCATCAGTGGAGGCAGACTGACTTCTTCCCCTGCACCGTGACATGTGGAGGAGGTGAGGCACAGACTACACTCTGGGATACCCAGAGCTGTGAGTCGGGATGCACACATGCCTGGTTGAGGTGACTGGGAGAGAAGGAAGTGTTTCATGTGTGCTAAATTCAAGGCCCTAATAGACAGTTGGAGAAGGTTTGGGGTCAAGTGCAATCCAAGTGTGCATACCCAAAATAAAAAGGGTTTCAGTAGACATTGGTCTGCTTGTGTGGAGACATGATAACCTAGTGTAGATGGAGAGGCAGCCATAGTCAACACCAAAGTGACTCTTTCTGAGCTGAGTAAGAGATTCTGAACTGGTGCCAGCCTAGGATCCCCAAGTTGCTAGGGTTCCTGGAGCATGCTGGGAGTTTCCCTGTGAGTACCAGACAGTGACACTGGGGGCTTGCAGCCTGACCAGCTGTATGCTGAGGCTTCTTTGTCACATCCCTCACAACCTGAGAAAGTTAGTTTGGTGTTTGTTTTACACATGGCTGAGGTAAAACTCAGCAAGGGTCCCAATTCATCAGGTGGCATGGCCAGGGCTCTGATTATGTTGTTCTTTTGTGCCTCCGGAACTGTCTTCTATCCCTGTGTGAAGGATACATCTTGGGCAGGGTTTTGTTTGAAGAGTTAGAATACTTCTTAGCTCAGCCCAACCACAAATCATTTCTTCCTTTGATGACTACAGAATAACACCCATTCAGAAAGTCAGGAAAAGAACAGGGGTTCTGGCCTTTCTCATCCTGATTATAGGCATATTAAGGCAGACTCCTTGGGCAGTGCCAGGTTCCCATGAACATGCAGCTCAGGTCTTCCTGGACTTAAGCTTCCCCTGAAAGGAGATGCTGGTTCTTTTATGAGGAAGCACCAGGTAGCCCAGACCCCAGTGGGAGCCTGTATCTTAGGAAGAGTTATAGCCTAAGATAAGTCAAGGCCCTAGAATGAAAGAAGAAAGTGAATTTTCTGAGTAGCAGCCAGTTTGTCTAGACACAGTGTGATGGACACTCAGTTATGATCTTTATAGACATCTGTCTTAGGGTTTCTATTATTGTGATGAAATGCCATGACTGAATGCAACTTGGGGAGGAAAGGGTTTATTCCACATCGGGGTCCACCATGGAAGCAGCCTGGGCAGGAACTCAAACAGGTCAGGGTCCTGGAGGCAGGAGCTTATGCAGAGGCTATGAAGGAGTGCTGGTTGCTGGCTTACTGCATTCTTACAGAATCAGGACCACCAGCCCAGGAGAGCACCACCCACAATGTGCTGGGCCCTCCCTCATCAATCACTAATTAAGAAAATACCCCACAGGCTTGCGTAAATCCTGGTCTCATGGAGGCATTTTTTTTTTCAACTGAGGCTCCCTCCACTCAGATGACTCTAGCTAGTGTCAAACTGACATAAAACCAGCCAGGACAGCATCCTTCTAAAACTCCAGCATCAGCGGTACCAACATGTAAATTTTTGGACCCGCCCGCAGCTCCTGCAGCAGCCCTCTGAGGATGGTTCTGTTGTATTTCACAGGCGCCCCAGGAGTTCATGGTGGACTCTGTGTTTTGACGATGACTCTGTACAAAGTCCCTTTGGCCGTCAGCTAGAGGCACCGTGGCATCACCATTTTTGCCTTGTAGGTGTTATCACCACACTACTAGTGACTCAAGGAATTTTCTTTAAATGAGTGGTTTTAAAACTTAAGCATATTTAGAAAAATAACTCAATCATAACACCTGGCATAGGAAATGATTGTCTCTGGCCACACAGAACACAACCACAAAGACAAATACAGGGAAAACAGAACTGTAGTAGAAAATTACTAACTTCCTGCCAGCTTGAACCTCCTCTGGGCTTATTGTGAATTTCTGGTTCTTGTCAGACATGAAACACAGTTCTTGCCTGCTTGTATTTTTGTTTTGTTTTGTGTTGTTTTGTTTTTTTTGTTTTGTTTTGTTTTTTTGACAAAGGTCTCCTGTAGGTCAGGCTCACCTCACACTTGCTATGTAGCTAGGGACTTTGAATTCTGGTCCTTCTACACCTACCTACCAGCACTGGGTTATAGGCATGCTCCACGATGATCAATTTTTGCAGGACTGGAGGTTGAACCCAGGGCTTTGTGCATGCTAAATCAGCACGCTACCAACGAAGCTACATCAGTGGAGACAAACAGTTTTAGAGGAGACAAAGGCTCCTTTAGATCTTCCAGTCAGTGACTCTGCACCAGGCTCCAAGGAAGCACAGAGTCCCTGAGCTCTCCCCAAGGCTATGGAGGAGAAACACTGTTAGGAATGGAAACTCTGAGTTAGATAAACCTGGGCCTTAGTGAGCCAATCCTGTTCTCTGACATTCCCATGCCACGGTCACAGCAAGGGGCAGCCAGCCAGCATTGGGGCTGGTGATGCCGCTCAGTGGTAGAATATTGGCCTGGTGTGCTCAGTCTCTGGTCCCATCTTATCCACCACAAAAAGGGCAGCTTGGCCTAGCGCACGAGCGGAACGGTGGAGATCCGGGATCAGACTCACTCATCTGTCTCTCTCTGAGCCTCTGCCTCCGTCTGTTGGTAGGACTCTCTTCTCCCGAGGCACTTTTGTATAGCACAGTGATGATACATGCCGAGGGATGTGGTGTGGCACCTGGCACCTTCCTAGTCATCTGCTGTATCCAAAGCTAAAATGGTCACAGAGGCCTCTTCCTTCCCCCACAGTCTCCGGCACACTGGTTCTGACTGTGCATGACTCAAAGGCCACTGAGGAGAGCTCCTGAGAGAGTGGGACAGTGTAGTATGTTGAGTCCTACATCCTTGGGTAGGTAGGTCACAGGTCCAGGAAGACAACAGTACCTCTTGGGTCCCAAAATGATGGATCACAAAGAGATAATGGGGACTTTTTAATTCTTTCTCTGAAGAGAAACAGGCTTCCCTTTCTTACTTATTCCTGGCCTCTCACACATAGTTTTTCAGAGAGACACACACTTCTGTTTGAACTCATAAAGCCAAGGAGAAGCCCTTCACTCCAGGGGAGACATTTTACAATAGGTTTCGGTGTGGTTCCATTGATCAGAATCTTGGGAGCGCTGTTTTCCATACTCCGATGCCCCTGGAAAGGCAGTCCATCCTTCTGGAAGCATGAGTGGACACAGAGGCACCTCCCAGTGAGATCAGCCCCAATGGGAGGGCAGCAGAAGAACACAGAGAGGCCACTAGGGCTGCCTGCCCTCTCCCACACACTGGCAGGATGTCAATGCATTTGTTCACAATATCAAAAGACAATTTGCCTTATTTCTTTACTCTTGGTAATCTCTAAACTGCAATAAAATTAAAGAGGAAAATGAATTCTCTCCCTCAAATTATAAACACCTGTATGTCCCCTATCAAGTCGCTTTAGAAGAATGTTTCCACTTAGGATGTAGACTTTTGTCTGATTCAAGGAATCGTAATCTTATTCCGTATTTGTTTGGGGAAAATAAAAGTACACACACCAAACCCTTACAGAACTCACTGCCAAATTTTAATTATATTAGCAATCAAACGTATGTGATTGTATGAATGGCATGCCAGAGATTTTTGGATAATGAAGAAAATTAGTTGGTGGGTCTCTGAGGCACCGATGGTCCTGGAAAGACTGCCTGCCCTCATCTGTAATTATCCATGTGATACACTCGAGATTGTCTGGGGAGGCTCTGAGGTTGCCATGGCCATCTGATAGTGCGGTCTTTCTGGCAGACACTGGCACCAGAGTAACGTTTTATTGACGCCATTTGCATTTCCATTCTGTGGTTTCAACCTTGCCTTTTGTAATGTGTGCCAGTCTGCCTTTTCTGGTCCTCTGAGGTCAGCTAATGCCCAAGCCATGTCTTGCAGAAAGCTGCCTGGCGGTTTACAAAGCCAGATTCCTCTAAGCAATCAGGACTTGAGATATATTTTTAGACCTTTAGACCAGTTGGCAGACATTGAGCGATCAGCTTCAGTGTTATTTTTTTTTTAATTTTATAAAGCTCATTCTAGCTTTGAAAAATTGCCTTTTAAAAAAAAACAGTTAACATGACATTTTTGTAATAACAGGAAAGCTGGAGTCAGAGCTCTTAGGAAAGGAAAGGGTCCTGTCTTGAGCTAATTTTTTTAGGTTTACTATGCTCAATGCCTTGGAATGTTTGCTTTCCTCAAAGAAAAAAAAATGGTCCGCATTGGATTTACTAGAATCAGGAGTGCTGTGTCCTCACCCTTCTCCTTTGAAGCCTGTGTGGTGGAGGAGGTAGGGAGATTGTTTGCTTGCGTCTGCCTCTGCTGACAATGCCAGTTCCCCAGGCAGCAGGATCATTGGCATTGAAGGTGCCCTGGCTACCTCAGGAGAGCAGATGAGTAAACAGCAGAGGCAAATAGTGGACTATTGTGAAAGATGTGCTCATATTCAGCTCTCAAAACACGCTGTACACTTTACAGTGTAGAGAAAAAAAAACTTAACAAGTGGAAAATAGGCCAAGATTCAAAACATTTAAAACATCATCAGTGCTGGGGGTCTGGGTCAAGGACACTGAGCTTCCTTGGCTTGTCCAAGGCCCTGGGTTTGATCTCACGACACACAGATATATTTTTCTAACTTTATAAAGTTTATATATTTAATTATACTTACAATACACACACATTTAATACATGTATACATGTATATTATGAGTATGATTAAATACTATATATAAATATATTGTAAATAATATTATGTAATATATTGTATATATTATACACACACACATATAGATATATAAACTGTCAATTGAATTTAAAGCATGCACCCAAACAATGTTATACAAGGCAATTTCATACTTAAAGATATATAAATGATAAATCAGAACAGGTATCTGGGGAGAAGAAGAAGAAGACGGGAATGGGCACTGCTGTAGGAGACTAAACAAGGAAACAGTCAGGAGTGAGGGGGCTACCACAGTGACCAGGAATAGCCAGGCAGTAACCTGAAAACCATAAAGGGCCCCACTGTACCCGAGGGAAGTCTGGACAGTTCCTAGAAGGAGTCAGCTGTAACGTGCACCAATAGACCACAGTCGGTTCATGCATGTGTGTTTGGCAGCAGGTTTTAGCTGTTCCAGAGGAATCTGAGCCTCTTGGACAGAAAGCGCCCACATCCTGGGCTTCAGATGCAGAGCCTCTGGCTTATTTACCATGAAGAGCCTGGGCCCCATGTGTGGTCATTCTCGCCTGTGCTTCTGTTTGTCACAGAGCTGAATACCATCGAGACCACTGAGCTGGGTTTCCTAGACAGGAAGCAGCATGTGGCCTGCACCCTTGCCAGGCAGATGCACAGCTGATATATACAGCTTTCATCCCTTCCTCTCGTACACCTTTAGGTTATCAGCTCAACTCTGCGGAGTGCATGGACATCCGTTTGAAAAGGGTGGTGCCTGACCACTACTGCCACTACTACCCAGAAAACGTGAAGCCCAAACCAAAGCTGAAGGAATGCAGCATGGACCCTTGCCCATCGAGGTTAGTACAATCACCCACGCTTTTCAAAGAAACAATTCAACTCCAACTGGGAGACAGTGGTTCCTTCACACTTCCTGTTCATGACTTTTGATTGTGTCCCAGTGACAGATCACATTTATAACCACAGGTCATGGGAACTAAGACACATTTGATGATCTGGTTCCTCGGCCTAGCTCTCTCTTGTCATGGGATTATGTATCCCTAAGATCTTTATAATGAAGCCTTTTGGGCAATTCTTGCAAATACATACATCAAAGATCCATATGTATATGGCTCTGCCAGGATTCCATGCATAGTCTATCTGTCAGTCATAAATATTTCCCACTCACTATTTTAGGCTTTAAACTGGGTCACCCATTACATCTTGGCTTTTTAAGTGTTCACATTTAACTCCGTATAAATAATGCATTGTGCAAGGAAGCAAGCAGTTTTCATGCCAAAGCAGAGAGGCTATGCAAAAATTATCCCACTGCATAATTTAGTACCTGCTGACTTGGATTGTCTGGGCAAGTTTCCTGGCTTTCCTACAGTATCTTAAAATATCAGCCCAATATCAATCCCCTGGATCCTCCAGCTTCCGTCCAGCTAGCCAAGGCCACAGTGTGCAAGTGGGAAAAGCAGCCTTGCCCATGGCTCGCATTTCCTGTGCTATAATGCCCATTTTCTGTAATCCTGCTTGGACATCACTATTAACAGAGACCTCTCAAAGGACAGAGTCTGGAAGCAGAGTGGTTCTCTGAAGATTTGACCAACACAACAGTGTGTTCGTAGCATTAATACATTACATTAGTATAGTGATGTTTAAAATGAAGTAATAGACTTATTTAGATGAAGAGTTTTTTTTCCTTTGATTAATATGCCATTAGTTCTTTTTATATTCAACTGGAGATGGCCTGCATGAGTGTTTCTCTTAAAACCTGAAGAGATGCTGTGTAAATTTTGGTTGAGTGGCCAATGAGCCACATGGCATTTTTGGTTTTCAATTTGAAAGATTTCTGTCTTGTGGGATATCAAACACAGGCTAGTCAATTAACAAATGTTAATGTTCATTGAATTGGAAACGATATTTTCTCAGTGAACCTGTATTAGTGAACGAACACATGTGGTGAATTTAGAAAGTTCTTTCCACTCTGGTTTCCTTTGCAGTGATGGATTTAAAGAGATCATGCCCTATGACCATTTTCAACCTCTCCCTCGGTGAGTTAAACATTCCCTTCCTTTTATAATGGATTCTAAGTGTTTTGAAGAAATACTTATTATCCCTATTAAAAGACAACAGGCTTAATGATAAGAAAGATGTATCTAAGAATTAGATGAAATGAACTGCCTTTGAAAAGTTGTATGTAGAGTGTTATTGTCCATTGCCAGGGACATCAAGCTTATCTTGAACAACAGATTAAAAGATTATTAGAGCAGTGGTTCTCAACCTTCAGTACTTTAATATAGTCCTCATGTATTATTTTCGTTGCTACTTCACACTTCACAACTGTAGTTTTGCTGTTATGTATCATCATGTAAATACCTGATGTGCAGGATATCTGATCTCTGACCCCTGTGAAAGGGTCGTTTGACCACCTACAGGTTGAGAATCACTGAACATTGCTCAGACACTTGAATCCTCTTGGATAGCTGGGTGACTAGTATCCCTTCCCTCCACTCCTTGTTTGTTTCCTTCTTTCCTTTCTTGCTATTTTGTTGAAACAGGGTCTCATGTGGTCCAGGGTGGCCTCAGATTCTCTATGTAGCTGAAGTTGCCTCAAATTCTTGATCTTCCTGCCTTTACCTCCCAAGTGTTAGAACTATAGACATGTGACACCATGACCAAATAGTGTGATTCTTTTTATTTTGACATTCTATGATTCTCAGTAATATGGTCCATTAGTACTTTATAATTGAGAAACAATTTAAAGACCCTTTCACACTCTATATTCTAATTAATTCAATCTTCATAATGGCTCTTTGAAGGCTAACTGAGGTGGGTATATTTTTCCCATCCTATAGAAAACTCATGTTCAGAGAAGGTGAGTTCCTTGTAACTGTAGTTAAGATTAAAGTCCTAGGAGGCTTAAGTCTTGTATTCTTTCAATAGAGCCATGACATGATACTATGACGTCACTCTTTTGGAAAGCCCTTGCATACTTGAAACAAACAAGCATACATCAAATAAATAATGTAATTTTCTTTGTTTGCTTTTGAGCTGGGAACATAATCCTTGGACTGCATGTTCGGTGTCCTGTGGAGGAGGGATTCAGAGACGGAGTTTCGTGTGTGTAGAGGAATCTATGCATGCAGAGATACTACAAGTAGAAGAATGGAAGTGCATGTATGCACCCAAGCCCAAGGTGATGCAAACTTGCAACCTGTTTGATTGCCCGAAGTGGGTTGCCATGGAGTGGTCTCAGGTGAGATTTGACAACATGACACTTTTATTTAAATGTGAGGTTTTAATGACTATTTGCCTGAAACTTTACTGGATATCATCATTTAGAAAAGTTGTATATAAGGGGCTGAGGAAATGGTTCAGTGGATAAAATACTTGCCATGTGTCTTAATTAGGGGTTTATTGTTGTGAAGAGACATCATGACCATGGCAACTCTTATATAGGAAAACATTTAATTGGGGCTGGCTTACAGGTCAGAGGTTTAGTCATCATGGTGGGAAGCATGGAGGCATGCAGGCAGACATGGCGCTGGAGAGGTAGCTGAGAGTTCTACATCTGGATCTGTAGGCAGTAGAAAGTGGCAGTGACACTGGGTGTGGTTTAAGCATCTGAGATCTCAAAGCCCGCCCCCGGTGACCACTTCCTTCAACAAGGCCACACCTCCTAATAGTGCCACTCCCTATGGGTCTATAGGGACCATTTTCTTTCAAACCACTACATTCCACTCCCTGGCCCCCATAGGCTTGTAGGCATATCATAATGCAAAGATGTATTAAGTCCAACTTCAGAAGTCCCCATACTCTATCACAGTCTCAACATTTAAAAGTCCAAAGTTCAAAGTCTCTTCTGAGACTCATGAAATCGCTCAACTGTAATTTCCTATAAAATCAAAATAAATAGCAGATCACGTACTTCCAACATATAATGGCACAGGATATGTATTACTGTTCCAAAAGGGAGGAAAGGGTATATAGTGAGGAAATACTGGACCAAAGCAAGACCAAAAACCAACTGGGCAAACTCCAAACTCTGCATCTCCATGTCTGATGTCAAAACTCTCTTCAGATCTCCAACTCCTTTCGGCTTTGTTGACTGCAGCACACTTCTTTCTCTTGGGCTGGTTCCAGTCCCTGTTAGCAGCTCTCCTCAGCAAGTATCCCACAGCTCTGGCACCTCTAACATTTTGGGATCTCCAAGACAACCCAAGCTTCGCTTTCACAGCTTCACACAATGGCCTCTTTAGCCCTCCATTCAGGGACACCCCTGACACATGCCTGGCCTGGGCGACTTTCCTTAATCACAGAGGGAGATTCCAGAATCCCTTTCTTTTATCCTTTGACTCTAAAACCAGAACCAAGGGGCTGGCTGCCAAGTCCTGCTGCTTACTGGGGCTGGAATATGGCCCCCCCTCATACAATTACATCTTCACCAGCTTTCTGTTGTTGATGGTTTTCGTCACTGCCTAAACGTGGCTGTCTTGGAACTCATTCTGTAGACCAAACTGACCTCAAACTCAAGAGACCCCCCCCCCCAGCCTCTGCCTTCCTAGTGCTGGGATTAAAAGTGTACGGCACCACACCCTTCTATAAGCTTTTCTTTAATTCCTTTTCACAAATTGGGAGCTTAGTTGATTGGGATCTTGTCCCAAGTCACCACTTCTTTTATTGCATTTAACATCAGGCTTTTATTTAATCTGTTTATCTCCTTGAACACAGGGTATAGGTCCGTTCTACCCCTGGTGCTCCTTTTCTCTTTGAATTGCACATTTTGTATTTTTCCTTTCTTGGCTTGCTCCTTTTCATTACAGATCTTCATAAGAGTGAACACTAGTAACCACACAACAGAGTCAATACTAGGCTGTTTTAAGGTTTCCTCTGCCAATGTAACTAATGAAAAACTATTCAATTTAGCCTCAGGTGGACTTTTTCACACAAGAGTAAAAAAATATTCACCAAAATAGCAAAAGAACAACCTTCAGGCCACAAATTAGTGTTCTTCTCCTCTGAAACCTCTTGATCCAGGTCCCCACAGTTCAAATCAGCTTTAGCACCACTGTCCTTCATGCTCCTAATAGTACGGCCCATTAGGCGCCACTTAAAGCATTGCACTGCTTTTCTAATCCCAAGTCGCAAAGTCCACATTCCTCCCAACAAAAGCATGCTTAGGCCTCTCATAGCAATGCCCAAATCCCTGGTACTAACTTCTGTCTTAGTGTTTCTGTTGCTGTGAAGAAACATCATGACCACAGCAACTTTTACAAAGGAAAACATTTAATTGGGGCTGGCTTTAATCCATTATCACCATGGTGGAAAGCATGGAGGCATGCAGGCAGACATGGTGCTAGAGAGGTAGCTGAAGAGTTTTACATCTGGATTTGCAGGCAGCAGAAAGTGACAGTGACACTGGCCATAGCTTGAGCATCTGAGACTTCAAAACCTGCCCCCAGTGACCACTTCCTCCAACTAGGTCACATCTCCTAATAGTGCCACTCCCTTTGAACCTATGGGGGCCATTTTCTTTCAAACCACTACACCGTGCAATCATGAGGGGCAGAATTCAGATTCCCTGAAACTCATTTTAAAAAGTCAGGCAGTCCTGATGACTACCTACAACCTCAGCACTCGGGAAAGTGAGAGAGGGGATCTTGAGGCAAGATAGATAGCTAGATTAGCCAGAATCAGTGAGCTCTGGGTTCAGTGAGAGAATCTACCTCAGTAAATGAAATAGAATATGACCAAGGACAATATTCCACGTCAACTTCCTGCCTCTAAATACACATGCACAAATGTGAACCATCACACATGCAAAGGTGCATGCACACATACATATCACACACATAAAATAAACAAGCAAATATGCAAATAAGTAATGTATGTGAACACAACCCCTATATCCAAAGAGCTCTAGAAGATAGCGCAATTGGAAAGTGGTCACGGGCATTAACTCAGGTAAGGATTATTACTATTATGGACTGTCGTACATGTGGAAGGTGCAAATGCCAAAGTTATCAGGGAGGGAGTCACTGCTGCCATTGTAAAGCTTAAGCTTCTTTGAAGATAGTAGATTCTGAGCAAGCAAGCGCTTAGAGCGAACACAGCGGGGGCCGATGGCCAAGAAGATACTGTCAAAAAACGCAAGTGTGAAATAGAGCACCTGGAAGTTGGAAAAGAGCACAGTTGCGCTGGAGAACACTGTTTTGTTGTCATCCACCACCTGTGGCTCTTGAAGTCTTTTGGCCCCTTCTTCCACAATGATCCCTGAGCCTTGTGGGGACGGGGTGTGCTATAGACGTCTCTTTTAGGGCTGAACATTCCATAGCCACTTTTTTCTCTGTGCCTTGACCAGTTATGGATATCTGTGTTAATCATCATATATTATAAAAAGAAGCTTCCCTAATGATTATAGAGAGATCCATGGATCTACGAGTATAATAAGGCATTAGGCACAAGAGGGTTAGCTAGGTGGTGGTGGCACATGCCTTTAATCCTAGCACTCAGAAAGCAGAGGTAGGTGGATCTGGATCTCTGAGTTAGAGGCTAGCCTGGTCTACAGAGTGAGCTCCAGGATAGCCAGGCCTGCAAAGAGAACCCCTGTCTCAAAAACAAATCAGCCAACCAACCAAACAAACAAACAAACAAAAAGATACAATGGGGCCGGTGTACATATGAACTTCCAGCAGTGTGGCAGCATGGACGAAGATCTTTGTAAGCTTAAACCAGACAAAATCCTAGAATGGAGTAGGGAGGTGGTCATGGAGAGTTAGTTTTCTTTAAAGTTGTGGCTATGGTTGGTCCAACATGCTCCAGAGTACGGTCACACACCCAAGAATATGGGCAGCGCTAATTGCACTTGATGGGTGTTTTAAAAATAATGAAGACACAGAGTTGGGTGGGTATAGAATGGGGAGGGTGGATCTGGCAGGAGTTGGTGGGAGAGAGTGACTATGCTCAAGCTAAAATGTATGAGATTCTCCAAGTACTGACAAAAATAAGTATTATTTAAAAAGACAAGACAGACAGGTCCTGGCTCCACTGCCTGGGGGCCTCCCAAACAGTTCAAGCTAATCAACTGTCCCACTTATCCAGAGGGCCCGGTCCAGTTCCATGGGAGGTCCTCAGCCATTGATTCACAGTTCATGTATTTCCACTAGTTTGGTTGTTTGTCCCTGTGCTTTTTCTAATCATGGCATCAATATCTCTTGCTCATACAGTCCCTCCTCTCTCTTGCCATTTGGGTTCTCAGAGCTCCACTTGGGCCTAGACTGTGGATCTTTGCATCCACTTCCATCAGACACTGGATAACTGGGGCCTATGCTGGGACCCTTTGCTCAACCTTGGTGTAGGGGGGAGGGGACTGGACCTGCCTCGGCTGAGTCTACCAGGCTGGGCTGACTCCCCAGGGGTGACCTTGCCTTGGAGGAGGTGGGAATGGGGGGTGGATGGGGGAATCCGTGACTGATATGTGAAATTAAGTTATATATATATGATGGTTTGGATGTCTATAGATTAAGGAGAGAGCATGTTTCTAGGAACCGGAAGGTGAAGGGGGAAACCCTGACATGACATTAGAAATGTGTCCTGATCTAGCACTTAAGAAACTGGGCACCTTTTTGAGAGAAATTGTGTTTGAAATCATTGAAGAAGACAGCCAACCATCAGGAAAGGCCTTGAGAGGCAAGTGGCCTCAAAGAAAACAGGAAGAAGAGAAGAGGGAAAATATCCCAGAGGTTTGACCAGACCTCACGTCAGATCAACTGTCTAGAGAGAGGGGATAATTGGCTTCTAGAACAAATAAAATGCTGTTAGATTAGTGTAGATGGAAGTTTCTGTCTTGCCTGGTCCTGTAGCCATTCAGTCCCAAATAAACACACAGAGGCTTATATTAATTATAAACTGTTTGGCCTATTGCTCAGGCTTGTAACTAACTAGCTCTTAGGCTTAAATTAACCCATAATTCTTGTCTATGTTTAGCCATGTGGCTGAGTACCTTTTCTCAGTCCAGCATTCTCATCTTAATTCCTCTGCATCTGGCTGGTGACTCTGTCTCTGCCTTTCCTTTTCCCAGAATTCCCCTCGTCTGGTTGCCCCACCTATACTTCCTGCCTAGCTACTGGCCAGTCAGCATTTTATTAAGCCAATAGAGTGACAAATCTCTATAGTGTACAAGAGCATTATCCCACAGCAGCTTAGTCAAAGGTAAGCAATGCAATATGTTTAATCTTAGTCTCTTAATTTTCTAGAGACAAGGGTGTAATAGATTTAAGTTTCCATAGCTCTTTTGCGTGGAACTATATTATGCTCACATTAGTCAGGCATTCATCTGTGTGGTGTGTCAATTGGCATGCCGGAAAGACAGAATGCTAGCCTCCAACTCCCAAAGGCTTAGAATTTAGTTGCACCAGACATGCATGCAGACAATTTTCATACAGTGGACCTCTGTGGTTGGTCATGTGTGGTGTGGCTTCTGCATGTGGTACTTTGGGGCCACAAGGTGAAAAGATTCACCCCACTTGAAGGATCCAGGAGTGCTCCAGGCAGGAGGTTGCACTTGCAGTGGGATTGAAAGACATGTGTGTGGGCTGGGTGGAAAGTCACGTGGTCAGCGCTGGGGATCCATGCTGAGTGTCAGCCTGGAGAACTTTGTCTGTGCTTTTAGGACAGGGGTATCAACTCTGCTTGCATCCACATTCCCTCTAAAAGAAGTTTGGAAAATGACTTACTCTTTCCCCTGCATTTAGGTTGACATATGCATTTTTATGGTAAGCTTAATAGCAAAGAGTATCATTTCCTATGTGTGGTGAATGATGACATCTTAAAATAAAACTGTTATGGCATTTTAAAAACTATGTCCAGGGGACTCTAAATGTCATGGTCATTTCTGTCCCTTCTGTCTTCTGTAAACAGCAGGAATGAGCTCCTTGACTATTTGATTTATGTAATTCTCCTCTTGCATTCACTTTCAAGCTACTCTCCTACAAAACTCTCTCCTAAAATAATGTATTTTTCTGTTTTAAAGCCTCTTATCGATCACACTGTTCTACCATTCTCCAAGAAAATGCACCTAGTAAATAAAGTCATTTCTGTTTCCTTTGGCCAGAGGGTTCTAAATGTCAATGTTCTCTTGAAGTCAGTTGTTATTAAATTCCATTCCAGCATCCAATCAAAACAATATAAATCTATTTTAAATTATGGTAAAAATATTATACATAAAAAGTAAGTTTTCATTTAAAATTAGCCTTTCTGGTAAGTGAAATGGGACTCAAAAAGTTGTGCATATATTCACTGCTCAGATGAGATATGGAGTCAGCAATCGTTTGTTATTGGTTTTATAGCATATGATATAAAGAGTTTTTCAGTATCATATACATACATATATATTTCAAATTGATAAATTCAAGAGTGAGTGAATTAGTTTTCTAGAAACGTAGGGAATCATTTCTAGAAATGTAGTCACACACTTCACTACAGAACTTGTTGGGTGCTTTCATGAATGGCAGGATGAACTAGGGATGTAGCTCAGTGGTAGACCACTTGCCTAGTATGCGTGGGGTCCTGTGTTTGATCTTTAATACAGGAAAAAAAAGGTGACATAATGTGGTAAGAGCTGCCCTAAATACCCAGCCTTCATGGTAAAGTGCACACAGAGAAAGTCCTCCAGAGAGATGCGTGGGGAAAGCCCAGGGAAACTCAGAAGAGAACGCCTGTGCTCTGGAGCAGTGGCAGGGGTGAGGGTGGGGGTGAGGGTGGGGGGTGTGGTGGGGGGTGTGGTGGTGGAGGGTTGCCAGCAGGGAGTGCTGGGAAGGAATTCTTGGTCTCTCAACTGTGGAAACTTGAACAGGGTCTCAGGTAGTGGCTCTGATGAGCCCATCTGTTGAGTGGGAGAGGAGCACCTCTTCTACAAGGAGGCAGGAGAGGCAGTGAGATGGATTATGTGTTCAAGACAGTGCCCATCTCTCAGCAGGTGTTCAGGAACTCTCCAGGATCTTCCCATGGGTCCGTTCAAGGTCCAAGGGACTCAAAGTGTGTACAGATTGGAGGTGACCACTTAAGGGAGGGAAGCAGTAATACAGAGTATCGGAGTGAATGGGTTTTCATTTAGAGGAAGAAAAGAAATGACAACTTTTAAAAAACTGAGGGAAACTCAGGGAAGAACTTTGGACTTGAATAACAATGTCTCAGGATTGTGGTCTCCTCCTCT